TCACTTAATCCCCACAGACATGCTCCACCCATGCGCAGTGACCTCTCGTGGGAAACTCTGCCAAGAAGCGCTTTCTTGGCACTGGGGAGATGGCTCGGTGTTGAGTGGGTACTGCCCCTGCAGAGGACCCGAGTTCACTTCCAGCACCCACAGTTCATGGTTCCCACAACCACATGTGATTGCAGCCCCCGCCTGCTGGGGGTACCCACACACATGTGCACAACGCACAGAGAACACAATTAAAATGAAAAATAAATGAATAAATAACTTTTTAAAAAGCTGTTTCTTTCCACTGGGCATGATCTAGGCATTCAGAACCACACAGATGCCTGCGTATGCCAAGTGCTGGCATGGAGGAGTCACCCTGCTCTTGCCTTTTGTTGCCCGGATGGGAAGCATTTAATACCCCACTCCTTGTGCTGCAGTCTGAAGGCTTCCTAAGTCATCCCACTGTTCCCTGAGCCTTCAAATTCTGCCAGCCACCCACAACTCTCTTCAAAATCTTAAAAAGGAGGCTAGGGAGATGGCTCAGTGGTTAAAACACTTGACACACCGGCATGAGATCCAGAGTTCGAATCCCCGGCGTCCATGTAAAAGCCACACTGGGGTAGTGGCCCAGCTGTAATCTCAGCATTCGGGAGGCAGAGATGGAATTCAGAAAGCTCTGGGTTCTGCTGTGAGATCCTACCTCAATATATAGGGGAAGAGCAATCGAAGACACCTAGTGTCACGAGAACCAGGCAGAGAGGGTAGTGCACCAGAGTCTGTCTGGCTTCCGCACGTGTATATACATCCACACAAATCCACATGTACACCATACACAAGTTCTAAGTTGATAAAAGGAGAACTAAAATAGTTCCAAAATGATCCTCTGTTTTCCCAGGCCTAGACTTAAGACTGGTACCGTCTAAGTTTCCCGTTCTCAGTTAACATTAGTGTGGAGCTGGGCATGGCGGCACGTGCCTGTGGCACCTGCATGGGACACTGAGGCACGTCCAGCCCAGAACGATGTCTCGTTAGACAGATAAAAGCAACAGAAAGTCAGAGCTCGTACTCTGTGAGCGTGTGGTCATGTGAAACTGTTTACTGGGAATGTATGTGTGCTAACGACAGCATGTACATACCTGACATCCGCTCTGTCAGTGAGATGAGCCCTCGTAAAAAATAAAGTAACTGCAGGTCAATTCCTCGGTCACTAGAATAGCAATTCCCACAGCAGGCAGCCCCACCCCTGCCCCCATCCTGGGAGACATTTGGAAAAGTCTGAAACATTTCTTTTCTTCCTTCCTTTCTTTTTTTAAATTTGTTTTTTGAGTCAGGGTTTCTCTGTATAGTCTTGGCTGTCCTGGAACTTGCTCTGTAGACCAGGCTGACCTGGAACTCACAGAGATCTGCCTGCCTCTGCCTCCCAAGTGCTGGGATTAAAGACGTGCGCCACTCCTGCCTGGCTCTTTTCTTTTAATGTTTATGAACATTTTGCTTCCTTGCTTGCGTGTGTGTGTGTGTGTGTGTGTGTGTGTGTGTGTGTGTGTAGGTGTGCTCGTGTGTGTACGCATCATGTACGTTCAGTGCCTGTGTAGAACAGAAGAGGGTGTCAGGTCCCCTAGATCTGAGTTACAGGCAGTTGTAAGGTGCCCTGCTGGTGCCTGGATCCAAACCCGGGTTTTCTGCAAAAGCAGCACATGTTCTTAATGCCTGAGATATCTCTTCAACCCTGACTTTGAAACATTCCTGTCAAGAGAGGATGGGAGGCTGCTGAGGCTGGTGAACTGCTGGTGTGTGAGGCTAGCCCCTCTGCTGGTGTGTGAGGCCAGCCCCTCTGCTGGTGTGTGAGGCTAGCCCCCTGCTGGTGTGTGAGGCTAGCCCCTCTGCTGGTGTGTGAGGCTAGCCCCCTGCTGGTGTGTGAGGCTAGCCCCTCCACAATAGAGTCACACAGCCCATTATGTCAGTCATTAATGCCAAGGGGAACAATACTGCTCGCAAGTCCTAAAGCCAACTGTGTGTGAATGCCCAAAGATCACCTACAATGTTATTTACACCCTCAAACATTGTCCTAAATCAAAGTTCAGATTGTTTGGGCCCATCCCAGTAGAATTTCAAGCTATCCCTGGGACAACCAACAAGTGCGCATGTTTTTATAGCTCAGTGGGAAACCAGATCACGATAGACCCGATGCGCCGAGACTCCCCTGTTGTGTGGTTCATGTTAGGGTGATAGAGTCTGAGATATTTCCTTTTAGCCTCAGATGTTTGTTACTGAGGTTCCGTTTTTTTTTTTAAGTGGTCAAACATTTAGGTTGTTGCCTCTGGAAGACGTTTGGTTCCCAAAAGTCCTGGCTTCCTCAAGCCACTGCCCTAGGAGAACATCGATGTCCGTATTTCCATTTAAGCTCTGGGGGTGGGGGCAGATAGAAGAGGAGGGCGAACGTCCGTCAGGACAAAGGGTGTATTGGAGGCCGGTACAGTGGAAGGGGTCAGATGGCCTGAGGGCATCCCACTGGACATAATGCTTACCATGCAAGTGTGAGGACCAAAGTTCGGATCCCTAGCACCCATGTGAATCCCAGGTAAGCGTATGATGACTCACCTTTGACTCCAGGACTCAAAAGTGATCCCGGGAGCAAGCTAGTTAGCTAGACTGGACAGCTCTGGCTCCGCTGGAGCCATCTTGCCTCAGTGAATAAAGTAGAGGGATTGAGGAAGACTCTGATCTGAGGTCAGCGCCCTACACACACACACACACACACACACAGAGAGAGAGAGAGAGAGAGAGAGAGAGAGAGAGAGAGAGAGAGAGAGAGAGAGAATATGTTCTTGATCATAGAGCTGTGTAAGGAGTGGATTTTAAGGCAATAATAAAAATCCTAGGCTCATATTTTGACATACTTGGTCTATCCCTTTAGCCAAAAGCCTTGGCTGGTGCCCCTTCCTGCTACTAGAAGGGCTGTGTGCTAACGTGGGTTCTTTCAGTGGGTGTGTTTTGATTTGCTTTTCTTCTTTCAGGAGTTGGTTCTCACCTTCCACTTGCTAGGTCAGGATCTTTCTTGTTTCTGCTGCTGCGCCAAGTACTAGTAGGCCAGCTGACCCTAGGAGCTCCCATGAAATTCTGTCTCTGCTTCCCATGTTATAGTAGGAATGCTGGGGTTATAGATGCATGCTCCCCAATGCCTGTGTGTGTGTGTGTGTGTGTGTGCGCGCACGCGCGCGCGCGCTTCAGCGTTTCTCAATGTCTTTACCTGTTGAGCCATCTCCCTGCCCTATTTGTTTATTTTTTGAGACAAGGTCTCATGTAGCCCAGACTGGCCCCAGACTTTCTATGTAGTAGGTGATAACTTTGAACATCTGCTTCTTCTAGCTCCATCTCCCCAGAGCTGGGATTATAGGCAGGCATTACCACTGTCGGTTTACGTGTTGAGAAACAAACCCAGGGTCTCATGTACGCTAGAAAAACACTCTGCCAGCCTGAGCTACATCTACAAGCCTCGCGGGTGCCTCTCTGAAAATTCGGCCCCTGCCCTGTTTGCCCTACCCAGCTCTTTTCCTGTCCTAGCGAGTTGTTCCTCCCTCCCCTGTGAAATCCAAGAGCGATGATGACTCAAAGGCTCTCTGAGTCCTGCTGAACCTCCCCTTCCTCGCAGAACTCTGGTTCTCAAGCTAGTCTCAGGAATTCTGCACAGACGCTGTCCCGTTGGTCGGGTGCCCAGAAGCACCCCGTCAGTGTTGACTCTAGGACAACGTGCTTGCTTTTGCTCCTGGCAAAGACTAATGGTTTGCTTATGAGCATAATCGCTGCCATTTATCAAACATCTCCCACGTGCGCGACGGTGTTCGGTCCCTGACATGGTCCTGCTCCTGCTAACAAAGTGAGTCATAATAGCTTGCCCCACAGGTGACAAAACAAGACTCCAAATTGTTAAGTCATTTGTCTTGGGTCCCAGCCTACATCGGCTGAGTGATATCGATACCCATGGATGCTGTGCTCGGAGCCCAGGCTCCCCCACTTCCCCTAGACTCCCTCCTGTCAGCTGTGCCGTACCAATGTTAAGGAAAGGTTTTTCCTCTGAAGAGCGTGTGCGCATGAATTTGTATGCACATGGGTATGGAAAGACTTCCCCACAATTACGCATGGCAGAAGGTGGAGTGCTGGGTGATGGGCCCAAGGTTGAGAGACAGTACACGGGAGTGTGGATCAGACGCTGGGTGTGGTAGTACATACCTGTAATCTGGGCGAGCCAGTTTTAGAGCACAAAGATTGATGCGAATTCAAGGCCAGCCTGGTCTAGTAAGTTCCAGGCAATACAAGACTATGTAACAAGACCCTGTCTTGGTTTTTTTTGTTTTTGTTTCTGTTTTTGTTTTTAGGTTTTTGAGCCAGATCTTACTCTAGACTGGCCTCAAATTTGTTGCATAGCCAAGGGTGACCTTGAACTTTGGATCCTCCTACCTCTACCTCCCGAGAGCTGAGATTTCAGGCCTGGCACCACCATGGCCCATATAAGCGGTGCTGAGAGTTAGGCGTAGGGCTTTGTGAATGCTATGTGAGGACCCTAGACCACCTGGACCGTATACCCTGCCCCGTCCCATGCTGTATCCACTTCTTTACCATTCCCACAAGTGTGTGTCTTGGGGAATGCCATCAGTGATGCCGCAGGAGATGGAGATGGGCCAGGCAGACCCTCCATTGGGTAATCTTCACTCTGATGATCTGCCTCCCTCCGTATGGAGAATAACGAAGCCTTGGGCTTCACATTGGAATGTATCCATCCCCTCCCCCTTAAGAGTTTAGCTGAGTTGTTTACTGTCTTGCCCCTGGCCCCTGGCCGTGGTAATGGGATGGTGGTAGCAGAGTGACTACGTTAGATCGCGTGGCAGTGGCGGTGGTTTCCACTGTCCAGGGCCTGTGGGCTTCACATAGCTGGTTACCTCCCTGCAAGCCCTTTCTGTGCCTGCTGCTGGAGAGCCTTTATCTTACCTTCTTCGTGTTTTCTGTCCCCTGTGCAGTACCTGCAGATGAAATGGCCTCTCCTCGATGTCCCCTCCAGTGCTACAGTCAAGGACACGAGATCACCATCGCCAGCACACTTGGTGAGTCTGTTTTAGCAGCCTGGGCCCCCGCCCTTGACTCCTTTCCACCTTCCAGAAGCTTCCTAAGACTGTCTCTCTGGTGTCTTGCTTTTCTTTCTGTGCTAAAATAGCTGAAGAGGGCTTCTTAACGGAGAAGGGCTTGTCTAGCTCACAGTTGGTGGGAGCGGCTCTCCGGTGGGGAAGCCATGGTGGCAGGAGCCGGAGGCAGCTGCTTACGCTGCCTCCCCTGTCAGGAGGCAGAGCGTGATGGATGCTGGTGCTCAGCTCATTTTCTCCTTTTTGTTCAGTCTGGGGATCCTGCCCGTTGGATGGTGCCTCCCACATTCAGGGTGAGTCTTCCCTCCTCGGTTAAATCTTTCTGGAAACACTCTACCAGACGCACCTGGAGGGTGTTTCCATGGTGATTGTAAATCCAGTCAAATTGACAATGAAGATTAACTCTCACACTGTGCGGGCACAGCCAGGGGTTAACAAAGAGGTTACATCTTAGACACCTTCTCGTCCACCTCAGCACATAGGCACGAACCACCTGGGATGCTTGATTGAAGACACATGGCCTTGACCATTAACCCCCATTCTTCCTGAACACCTGCTTCAAATCCTTCTCCACTTCCTATGAACAAGGAGTCCTTTCTGTCCAGTTGGTGCTCCTTCAGAACACCTCCTCTCGTCCCCAGAGCTGCAAGGCTGCAGTTAGAGAGGCTCTTTTCTGCCAGCTGTTTCAGGAAAGCATCCATTAAAACCTGGCCAAGGGCTCCTCAGCACAGCTGTGGTAACGTCAGCCTTGCAGGACCATGGGGTCCCAGGAGGGCGCCTCATGGCCTCGTGATGCAGAACTCAAGTCCAGAGCATATAAAAAACGGTGCTGGAATATAAGCCTTGCATTCCATCTTCCAGGAAGCAAGGAAGGAAAGCTCCAAGTCGATGCCTGCCAAGCTATCCGGTGACTGTCCCTCCAGTGAGTCTCAGAGTCACAGGGGACTTCACCTTTCTCAGCCTGTTCACTTTATAGAAAGGAGGCCAGGGCCTCCTCACTGCCCACCTCAGGGATCCATGGGGATTTCTGAAGCTCTACTGGAAACAAATTTAAAGATCTACGAAAGCAGAGTATATCAAATAAAATGGCCCCCATGTTACCATCCCTCACATTCCCCCTCTTGCCGCTCTTATTTTACAGCAAATCCCATGCGTATTATTTTCTCACAGGACATTCTAAGATATACTGATAATCCTTGCTCATTAAAAGCTTAGAGGCCAGCCATGAGGAAGAAGATACACACAGAATATAAATAGAGGTGCGGTGAGCCTGTGTGGTTTCCAGCAATCACGGGACCAGCTTAGAGTGGCAGAGCCCTTGGTAGTTTACAACATGATGTCATGTGTGGTTCTCAGATGACTGTCACCACCATCTGTCAGGACGGTATACAAGAATAACCGTGGAGGGCAGAGCCAGCCACCCAGGTTAGGCTGTCCCAAGACGTGCAAGGAACTAGTGGCAAGTTCGGTATCCCGTCACCAAAGCATTGAACAGTTGTGCCACCGAAGGGCCACGGTGGCGCTTCTGGTCCCCTAGGTCCTGTTTGGAATGGTGAGCATGAGGTAGAGGTGCCCTCTAGTGGCTGGAATCAAACACAGCAAAGGCCCTTTAGCTTTCTTCCAGCGCCTCCCTCTCAGCCCACCCTCGCCCATTCTGTGGCACCCCAAAGCCTACTGCAGCAGACCCCAGAATGTCAGTGTTTGCTGCGCTCCCTCCTTTCGAATCTAACACGTATTTCTGGATGTTCCATCCTCCCTGTGAGCATCGCCCTACTTGCCCGCCTTAATATCCTCAACCGTGCTTCCCACGCTTCTGCCGTGACAGCGTCCCTGCCAATCCATGGCAGCCTGGCTCAGCTCTAACTGCCATGTTAAGTCATCTCCTTGCTTTCTAGGCACCACGTAGGTGACATCTGACAGTGTCGAGCACTCCCACTTCCTTGGTTATCATATAATACTCAGTATTGGCTCTTTTTCTTTCTAGCCCCTTTCCCTCAAATAAACCAGGCACTCGTGGCTCTCTCAGAGAGACAGAAAAGTGTGTGGAATTCCTAAACTCTCAAGGAGCTACTTGCAGTTGCAGCTGCCAATCACCCAGCCACTGCAGATGCGTGCTCCCTGTCTGTCACAGCACAGGAGAGGGACAGAGGGCCCTTAGAGAAGCTTGAGCTGTCGGTACATAGTGCTTTATGGATAGCGAAGTGGACAATTTCCCCAGTAAATTTCGTATTACCATACTCTATATTCTAATATTGCAAAGCGAGGAAGCCAGAGAGATGGCTCTGCAGATGCTTGCTGCCATGCCCGATGGCTCGAGTTTGATTCCAGGGACCTTCTTAGTAGTAGAGACCTGGTCCTATAAATTATCCTCCAACCTCCACAAGTCAACTTGAGAGAAAAGAGGGGGGAGAGAATTTAAGTGTAATTTTAGAAAACCTGGATGGACTGGGCATAAACAGACAGATCTCTGTAATGAAGCCAGAGTCCAGCAACTCCTCCAAACTCTGGGCGAAGGAAGACTTGAGGTGTCTGGGGAGGAGGTGGTGGGTGGGTGGGTGGGACTGTTGCTTCCTTCTCTTCTCGAAGCTTCTTGCCAATTACCTCATCTCTCTTTGCCTCAGTTTCCTCATCTATTAAATGGGGATTATAGGCGCACTGATGTCATAGAGTTGTCCAGAAATGAGCCAGCGTGATGTAATGAGTTCAGCATTGTGCCCAGCACAAAGTAACTCTTCACTAAGGGCTTTCCAAACTGTCACCACACTACACCGCCATTGCCACCACCACTGCTGCCTTTGCTATTGTTAAGAAATTAAGAGAGGGAATGAACAATTAACATCGCGTTTAATTAGCAGAACTAAGAGGTAATGAGGGCCTGAATTAGGTGCCAAAACAAATGGACAGATTGCGAAGGTAATAGAGATAATGAGCCCATAGAATTTAACATCTTAATCCCCCAAGGATAGGATTTAATTGGGCTGGGGTGGGGCTGGTATCTTAGTGTTTTAAGCTCCCCACGGCGACTCTAAGGGGCAGCCAGAGTTGAGAATCATTCCCATAATTGCAAATCAAAGACAGGAGGCAAGGGAAAGAGGCACTCCCAGCATCTCTAATGACTTAACATGACTCCTTGTCAAGCCAGAGGGTGTGAGCAGAACCTGAAGTCTCTTAGGTCCCAGTCACAGAAGTTGGGGGATCGTTTTTTTTTCTTTTCTTTTTTTAATTAGAGAAATGAAAACACTCTAGATTATGAAAATTTAGCTTAGATCAGAAGTAAAATATTTGAAGACGTTTGCCCAGGGAGTAGGGCCAATGAAGAAAATAGGCTACATACTTGCAGAGATTTGGTGAGTCATGCGGAGTCTGTCAGAGAAGGGTGTCCAAACAAGTCAGAACCCGGCTGTGGTGGGGGTGGGGCTGAGCGGTGCTGTTATTACCATTTACACCTTGAAAACCAGCTGGGGGCGGGAAACAGAGCATCGCCTCTATGACTGGTTAGTTTTCCTGCTTTGCTTTGTTGTAAAGATTGTGATTTTTATTTTATGTGCATGGTGCATGAGTGCTTTGCCTGCCTGTCTGCACCATGGCCATGCTTGGTGCCTCAGGAAGCCAGAAGAGGGCATCAGGTCCCCTAGAGCAGTGATTCTCAACCTGTGAGTCACAACCCCTTTGGGATCAAATGACTTTCACAGGGGTCGCCCAAGACCATTAGAGAACACAGATATTTATATTGCAGTTGGTAACATTAGTAAAGTTACAGCTGTGAAGTAGCAGTGAAATAATTTTATGGTCGGGGGTCATAGGAGCACAAGGAACTGTATTAAAGGGCCACAGCATCAAGAAGGTTGAGAACCAGAGTTCCAGATGGTTGTGATAACCGCGTGGGTGCTAGGCACTGAACCCCGGTCCCCTGCAAAGCAGCCTGTGCTCTTAACCACAGAGCCATCTCTCCAGTCCCCAGTGTAACTATTATGATCTTTGACTGCCATAATCTCACCGCTTGGGGTTGATTGTGCTGACATGCCACTCTCTTCCTGGAGCTCCGAGCAAAGAAAAAAAAAAGTATCTGCTTTGTTCATAAGCATTTACCCTGCATCTTCCGTATGCATAAGTAAAATTTGTGAAGGAAGTGGGGAATGACCTGTGAGAAGGTGGGCGGTCCTTCTATACATCTCCTCACTCCAGGGTCAACCTCTCATTCGAAATGATAAGTGCAAGTGTGTGAGTCGGGTGTAGGGGCGCACATCTGCAACCCCAGTACCTGGGAAGCTGAGGCAGGAGACTCAGAAGTTCAAGCCAACCTGGACGACATAGCAAGGCTTGTCTCAGAAACATACAAGAATAAAAAAAGCATTATGTACACTTGTGTTGCTTGAGAAAGTACCAAAGGGGATAGAGGAAGGCAGCAGGCATCTATACCGCTACATAGACCGTCATCTGTGTGTATGCGTGTGTGTGTGTGTGTGTGTGTGTGTGTGTGTGTGTGTGTAGGCATTCACTCCCACACTTGGTTTCTAAGGTTCAAGAATTGAATTCAGGGCTCCTTGCATGCTCAGCCAGTGAAAGTGCCTGCCACCAAGCCTGACTGCCTGACTTCCATCTCCGAGATCCTCGTGGTACCGGGAAAGAAGGGATTCCCACAAGCTGGCCTCTGACCTCCACACACAGGCACACACTCACAAAAAAATAAACAAAAATGTAATTAACATTTTTAAAAGAGCAGTGTTACTCATGGAGCAAGGGGGGAAAAGGCTCATGAGTTAAAAAAGAATAAAGCCTGCAGCCCATGGTCAGTATTGTGATAACGTTTTAATAGTGAATACCCAGTTTTATCATTCTGCATTGAGTCATTCTCGGAAACAAATGAGAGAGCTTCGTGTCAAAAGACTGGCAGCTGAATCAGTGCCTGGATGCTTGCCTTCTAAGGACCACATCTCATTGCCCGAGCCCCAAACCCCGAGGTGGAATTTCCCTTTAGTATCATACATCATCGCAAGAGTTATGATGTGGGTCGCATTTGTAATCCTCACACTCGAAGTGTTAGGGTAGGGTGGCCAAGAGGAGCTTAAGGTCATCCTCTGCCACGTAGTCCGCCCAAGCCTGGGCTCTGTGAGACCCTATCTATTCATAACTATGTAAATGAACGAGATTTGTATGTGGCTATGTGTGACCCTGTCTATCAATTCGTAAGCAGATAAATAATGCATTAATGGGTAAATAAGTGAAATTTATATTTTGCTTCTCATCTCACCAGTTCACCTGTGTAAATCCAGAAGTCTCCAAAATCCTTAAC